TGGCACACAAAAGAACGTAAGATAGTTGAGCTTGAGACGCAATTGAATGAAAAGCAGGCGATAGGAACAGAGAATAACAGATTTAACATTCTATCAGAAACCGTGTTTACCAGAATATATGGCTTCTAGTTAAAATCTGTTATTCTCTAATCCTATTAATCGCCTAACATCAGGTCAAAAGAAAATCGAAATGATGATTTTTTTTTTTATTACAAAATTTGGCTGTTTATTGACGTTAAGAATCAAAATAAATCATTTTGACTTTTGTGCGTTTCTTGGTTGTCTTAGGCGCTTTCTACAATAAGCCGTTAATAATAGATAAAAGTCAAAAGCGAATTTTAAGCAAGTTAGCAATCATAAGGCAATAATAAGTCAGTAATCAGTGACTGCGTAGAGATGGACAAATTCCATTTACTACGATTTAAAACTTAGATATAGGCCGGTATTCATAATTCTTATTTTAAAATGATTCTTATTTTAAAATGGTCTTAAGTAATGTTTTAAGACCAATGTCGCTAATGCAGTCCTCTGATTGGTTTCCTAAGAATGTACTTAAGACGGTTTTGAATAAAAGATTTCCATGAATACCGGCTTTATGATTAACTAACCGTACAGTGTTATTTACCCTGACAACTATCAGTCTTCTAACTGAATGGGAATATTGTTGACGATTTAATATGATTTATATTTAGATGTAAGTTTTCTAATATTTATGAATTATAATTCTGCCTTATCATTAATATGATATGAATGATGACTAACGATTTAGAACTTGTAGAAATGTCGTTAAAAAAAACGTAAGCAGTAACCGACTCGGTCAATCACACTAGAAAACATAATAACCTTAATAACGTATATAGCAAGTAGTAGCAAGCAAAAAATGTTAATTTCTTTACTGCTTACATCTTACTACTTTAAGTTTTTTGTATGCTATGAGCTTTATCGTGATAATCGCGAAAACAAGCACCAATAGATTTCTAGTGCCATTCACCTTCTGAATTTTTTACATTTTATAGCAAATAAATTGAAACAGTTGACTGTAAGACGATAGTATCAAGAAAATTAGCATATAAATTGAAATTTTCACGTAATTATCATAGAAATATCATACAAATTTATCGCAGTTAGATATTAACCTACCCTATATTGCATACGTTAAGTTGGAGGATTAAATTTTCGTACTTGAACTCGCGGTTATCACGAACGATTCGTCCAATCCAAGGTGTTCATTATCGTCGCGTTTGCACGTCCACTCGTCAATGAGTAATCCGCACTTCCGTATCGCGATACAACCTCAGGAGGTAGGTACAACGAAGGAAAAAGAGAGAAAGAAACTGGACGGTCTCACCCTTGCAGAGTTCTCGAAGCACGAGGTTTCCATCGCGGGAGCGTATGATTAAACAACTCAGGTGTTTTATGCTTGGCTCGGTGGTGATCGCGTGACCCAACGGCCACATCCGTTTCCGCTTTTGCGTACGGTCAACCTCTTCGACCCCTGACCAATGGTTCGCCTTAAGGGTGCGCGTTACCATCGACCGCGAAAGAAAGTATACTTTCCACTGACATATCTTTAACCCGTAATCGGCTTTGTTCGATAGTCACGCGTTGACGACAAGCTTTCCGCGACAAGAACAGTTAAATTTTACTTCGTGATGACTATTTACACTTTCCGATGATTTTGTTTCCGCATTTAGTAAGGAAACCGGTTTCAAGATCGAGATTATATCGCAGGAGGCAGTGATTTTCAACTTATATAAAAGACTTTTATAACTTTTATAACTTTTATATATATGAACGGAAGGAACGATTTTACTAAAAGATTGAAAATTTTGCTGGATACACAGCTGAAAGTAATTTTGTTAGAGCATGATTTCGTTGGAAATACAAACTGGCTGTTAGAATATCAAAATTTTTTTGCAACATTGCTTATTTTTTAGTTTCTGACATAATTATTTTGATTCTGTAAAATTGATTGATATGTATTCAGCAAAATTTTAGATTTTTCAACAAAAAATCTTTTTTTATTTGATCTTTCGGAAATATAAATTTTAAGTTTAAAAACTCTTTTTCTTTAAATTTAAATTTTATTCATTTTTAACAAACTTACCGCTGCTCGAAGTTTTAAAGTTCGTAGCACTACTTTTATTCCGATCTAATGTTTTTTATATTTCTCATTATCTGTTCTATCAATAGTCTATTAATTTATAAAAATACAAACGTATACGTGATTTGCGCGTGTGAGATTTGGTTTTCAATTTGTAAAAGACCACCTTTTATTATGTTTATGGAAACCATTAGTTATTTTATGGTTCAAAGTATTTCTTATTCTCATTATTTTATAAATGATCTATTAATCAATGGAAATAAACATACAGATTTATAGGTACCTTCCAGCGCTCCGATGTATGCTTTCAATATTTCGGTCTCGTGGCCCGAATCAATTCAGACTAGATAGCCGTAGGGTGCAAGAAAGGTCGGACAAATGTCGTAATGTGACATTAAACGCCGAAATGCCATCGATCCCATGAAGTAGCATAAAGAAATGATCTTGTTATTTCCTATCCTTTTGCTCAATCTGTCATAACTTGTTTGGTATAAATGCAGCATTTAATCGATCTATATAAATTTAGGTATTATATACGAAGAATATAACAAATTTATGAAAAAACTCTATAATGATAAGAAAGATAGGCATCAGAAATGAATCCATAAAGACAGTATAAAAAATTTATATAAATATTAGGTTTAATTGTTGTTCAAAATGTATAAAAATTTTTGCATTCAAACAATATATATGTATTCGAGCGTCAAGAGAGAGAAAGATTTTGAGTATAAAATTGCAAGCAATGCGAACAGAGCTGTTTGTTCTATCTGATCTTGTTTTCGAATTACAAATGTGAATACAAATGTGAGTACAAACGTGTCATTAATTTTTGTTACAAATTGAGCAAGTATTTTCACATGTTTTCGCATCTTACTGACTTCTTTAAAAACAGAAATGTATGAAGACATTATGATAGTTCAGTTTGTAACGAAAATTAATGAAACATGAAAATGTAACTAATAAAACAAGAACAGAAAGAATAAATATTTATATGAACTTTTTATTTAATTGTATTTTGAATTCATTTTTAAGTTACGCTCACATATTATGAAACATCCTGTATATATATAGATATGTAGATATATAGATATGTAACAAAAAAGAAAGAGAAGTGGCATAAGCGTGAATAATTAAGTTGATTTAACCAAGATAATAAAATAGCTATTAAGGGATACAATATTTAAAAGAGAGAGAAAGAAAGTGCAAATTTATAATCGTTTAAATAGAGTTTAATCATTTCGGCATTTGGAAACCAGCTCGCCGTCATTAAATTAAATAATTTCATTGTGTCCTTTTTGAAAAAAACATAAAACCAAAACTTTATATGTTTTATTTCTCTTTTTATACGAGCGGCTTTTTATGAATTTAATTTGAATAAATAAAATATTAATATGTTGACATCTAAAAAGATTAATCTGACTCTCCCTCTCCCAAAGTTAATCAACACATACGTAAAACAGGACGCTTTGGTAACTAGCCGAGCCAAAGGGTTGTTAACACTGAATGGTTCAACTGTTTTGGACAACCAAAGACACGGGGGTATAATTAATTCGGCCATTCGGCTTTATCGCTGTGCTATTATGCTCGGACGTATCTCTCATATTCGCGAATATTC